CGGAGGCGCGCGACCTCGTCCTCCGCGCGCGGGAGGTCGCCCTCGAGCTCGGCGACGCGCGCGTCGGCGCGGCGCCCGCCGACGCGGAGCTTCGCGACGAGGTCCCGGAGGCCGTCCGCGCCGCCGGCCGCGGCCGCGTCGCGGACTTTGAGCTCGAGCGCGGCGACCTCCGCGCGGAGCGCGGCCGCGGCGTCGTCGCTCGCGGCGTCGCGGTCCCGGAGCGTCGCCTCGAGGTGCGCGACCTGCTCGCGCTGGCGGCTCGTCTCCGCCGCGTGGTCCGACGTCGCCGCGTCGAGCTGGCCGACGAGGCCCGCCTGCGTGGAAACCAAATCTTCAACCCGACTTCAATGTGAGCGCATGCGAACGTTTCGACGCAATCTCTTCGGCTGTGCCTCGAGAACTCGAGGAGAGGAATCGGTTCGTCCAAAAATCAGCCGAATCGACTTCGATTTGACCGAGATAGAGAGGTTTGAAGTTTGGTCAGGACCCCCCGAACCAGCGGTTGGTTTCCACACCGAGGCCCGCGTGCCGCGCCTTCGTGGCCTCGAGCTCGCCCGTGAGCGCGTCGAGGGCCGCGCCGACCTTGGCCTGCATGTCGATGAGCTGCTTCTCGTGGCCGATGCGCAGGTCCGCGCGCTCGACGGCGAAGGCCTTGCGGAGCGCGTCGACCTCCGCGGCGCGCCGCGCCTCGAGCCGCGCCGCCGTCTCGTCGACGCGGCCCCGCAGGTCCGCGAGCTGCGCCGCGTGCGCGGCCTCGACCTCCGCGGCCGCGCCGGCCGCGGCGCCGCCGTCTTCGCCGCCGTCGCCGGCGCCCGCGAGCCGCGCGGCCGCGAGCGCCGCGGCGTGCCGCGCCTCGCGCTCCTCGTCGTGGGCGACGTGCTGGGCCTCCTGCTCGCGCATCTCGCAGAGCTGCGTCGCGAGCTCCTCCTCGTGGCGCCGGAGCACGGACGGCGGCGCGACCTTGATCTCGCAGAGGTGGAGGAGCGCGCGGAGCTTCTGCCGCTCGTCGGCCCAGGCCTCGCGCTCGCCGTCGTGGGCCGCGGCCTGCTCCAGGCGCAGCGCCTCGACGTCCGCGACGCGCCGCGCGCCCCGCGCGTCGGCCTCGGCCGCGGCCTCGGCGCCGCGCGCCGCGCGCGCCTCCGCGGCCGCGACCGCGGACGACGCGTCGTCGGCCGCCGCGGCCGCGGCGGCCTCGTGTTCGCGCCGCTCGTCGGCGAAGGCCGCGGCCTGGGCCTCGAGCGCCGCCGCCGCCGCCGCCGCGTCGCCCGACAGCGCGGCCGCGCGGAGCCGCGCGTCCTCGGCGTCGCGCGCGCGGCGCGCGTCGCCGGCGGCGGCGTCGCGCCGCGCGGCCGCGGCCTCGGACCGCGCCGCGGCGAGGTCCGCCTCGAGCGCCTCGCGCGCCGCGCGCGCGGCCTCGCGGTCCCGCCGCCGGTCGTCGCGCGCGGCCTCGGCCGCGGCCGCGAGCTCCGCGGCGCGCGCGTCGTCCGCGGCCTCGGCGTCCCTCCGGAACCGCGCCGCGTCCTCGGCCCGGAGCCGCTCCTCGGCCGCCCGGCGCTCGACGAGCGCCGCCTCGCGCTCGCGGAACCGCGCGCGCTCGCGGTCGACGAGCGCCTCGAGGCGCCGCTCGCCCTCGCCGCGCGCGTCGTCGCGCGCCGCCGCCGCGGCGCCCGCCTCGGCCTCCAGATCCTCGCGGCGCGCGCGCTCGCGGTCGAGCTCCGCCTCGAGGAGCCGCGACCGCCGCGCGGTTTCGTCGCCCTCGCCCCGGAGCGCGAGCTCCGTCTCCAGCTTCGCGGACGCTAGAGCCTCGAGCTCGCCGGCGAGGCGGTCGCACTCGGCCCGCGCGGCCTCGAGCTGCGCCGCCTGGTCCTCGACGCAGCGCTCGAGCTCGAGCACCGCGCCCTGGGTCTCGCCCCGCGCCGCGGCCGCGGCGTCGTCCTCGTGCGTCGCTAGAGCCTCCTTCATGGCCGCGAGCGCCGCGCCGGCGTCGTCGGCGACGCGCTCGAGGCGCGCGATCTCGTCGGCGTGGCGCGCCCGCTCGCGCGCCGCCTCGGCCTCCGCGTCGCGCGCCGCGCGCGCCGCGCGGTCGCGGCCGCCCTCGCGGTCCGCGGCGTCCTCGGCCGCGGCGTCGAGCGCCGCCTTGAGCTCGTCGCACCGCCGGAGGCCCGCGCGCCGCTCCTCCTCGAGCGCCGCGCAGCGCGAGGCGCTCGCCGACTGCGCCGCCGTCGCGTCGAGGAGCTGCTCCCGGAGCGCCGCCACGTCGCGCTCGCGCGCCGCGCGGTGCTCCGCGGCGGCGCCGAGGCGGCCCTGGAGGTCGTCGAGCGCCGCGGCGTCGACGTCGCGCGCCGCGGCGTCGAGCGTGAGCTGGCGCACCGTGGCCTGGAGCCGCCGGTTCTCCTGCTCGAGCGACAGGTGGCTCGCGAAGTCGGACGCGACGGCCTCGGCCAGGTCGCTCGCGGCGGCCTCGGCCGACGCCGTGTCCCGCGACCGCGCGAGCAGCCGCGCGCGGTCGTCCTCGAGGCGCGCCGCGCGCGCGTCCGACTCCTCGAGCCGCGCGCGGCAATCGGCCTCGGCGGCGCGCGCCGCCGCGGCCTCGCGGCGCGCGTCGCGCGCGTCGCCGTCGGCGGCGCGCGCGTCGCGCTCCGCGGCCTCGAGCGCCGCGGCGCCGCGGCGCCGCTCCGCGGCGAGCGCGTCGCGCTCGCCGTCGAGCGCGGCCCGCG